TTCTATATTTGTAACAATGTTTCAAACTGCAAGCTCAGAGGCCGGCAAGGCAGGTGGGGAACGTTGGAGTCCTCCGTCACTGAAGTAAGCAAGCCTCATGTTCGCTTCAAGCTGCCTGGCTGCCGGCCGCCATCTTGGCTGGCAGTTAATTTGCATATCGCCCCGATTAGCCAATGGGAAGGGTAGCAGACGTACGGCTAATTACCATGTTTCTCTTTTATTAGATAGGATGGTCTATTCTTTGTATTATGATTTGAAATGATTTAAATTATAACAATAGTCCAAAGAAAAACAATTTAGACATCCTTTAACATGTATAATAATGGTGTTTTACCTACAAGAGAAGAAAACATACATTAATTGAATGCCAAATATATGCTAGGGCTTCTCACATTAATACCCAAATGCCTATTTGACACCTCCACTTGGCTGTCTAATAAGACATCCCATGGTCTTCCCTCAGAAACCTGCTCTTCCCATCATCTTCCATATCTTAGCTAATGGTAATCCCACTCTTCCAGATACTCAGGCCAAAGACTTGGGAGTCATCCTTAATTCTCCTACATCTCACATTCAACCTGTCAATAAGATAAATCATTTTGCTTTTTTTATAAATACATCTGGAACCAGAATATCCCCCCCCCCTTTTAATAGAATTTGTTGGTGTGACATCTACACTAATAAAAGAGAAACATGGTAATTGGCGTACGACCGCTACCCTTCCCATTGGCTAATCAGGGAGATATGTAAATTAACTGACAGCCAAGATGGCGGCTGGCGTTTGCGTCAGCTGCCTGGCTGCCGGCCGCCATCTTGGCTGGCAGTTAATTTGCATATCGCCCCGATTAGCCAATGGGAAGGGTAGCAGACGTACGGCTAATTACCATGTTTCTCTTTTATTAGATAGGATGGTCTATTCTTTGTATTATGATTTGAAATGATTTAAATTATAACAATAGTCCAAAGAAAAACAATTTAGACATCCTTTAACATGTATAATAATGGTGTTTTACCTACAAGAGAAGAAAACATACATTAATTGAATGCCAAATATATGCTAGGGCTTCTCACATTAATACCCAAATGCCTATTTGACACCTCCACTTGGCTGTCTAATAAGACATCCCATGGTCTTCCCTCAGAAACCTGCTCTTCCCATCATCTTCCATATCTTAGCTAATGGTAATCCCACTCTTCCAGATACTCAGGCCAAAGACTTGGGAGTCATCCTTAATTCTCCTACATCTCACATTCAACCTGTCAATAAGATAAATCATTTTGCTTTTTTTATAAATACATCTGGAACCAGAATATTTCTCCCCCCCCCTTTTTAATAGAATTTGTTGGGGTGACATCCTATATAATAAAAGGCTAATATGCAAATAGACCAAACAGCAGAACAACCAAATAACCAGTCGCTATGATGTGCGCTGACCACCAGGGGGTGTGCACAGAACATGGCTGGTGTCGGCTTTGGTGGGATGGTGGAGCAGGTGAGCTGGAGCGCCAGAGTAAGGCTGGGCGCCGGTTGCTGTCATCACTGTGAGCCTCTGGTGGTTACTGAAAATTCTTTGCTCCCGTGCACTGTAGTCCCGCCTGGTGCTTGCACCTGCTGCTGGCGCTGGCCCCGCTGGCACCCGCTGCCAGCCCCAGAGCCGCTGCTCGCACTTGCTGATGGTGTTGGCCCCACTCACACCTGCTGCTGGCTCTGGACCCAATTGCTCTACGCTGTTAGCAGGTACGAGCGGGGCCAGCACCGTCAGAGCGTGGGAGTGATTGCAGCAGGAGTGGGACTGCTGGCAGACAAGAAACCGGGGGCATGGCGGGAGGGGCCAGGCAGAGGCACAGAGGATGGGCAGAGACCTGCCCCTCTGCCCACAGCAGCCTCTGCAGCCCACAGTTCCTTTCAAGGTGCATGAATTTGTGCAGTGGGCCCCTAGTTGGTTAATAAAATTATATAGGTTTCAGGTGTACAATTCTATAATACATCATCTGTATATTGCATTGTGCATTCACTACTCCAAGTCAAGTCCCCTTCCATCACCATTTATCCCCTCTATACCCGCTTCTGCCTCTCCCCACCTCCTTACCCCCATGCTGTTATCTATATTTATAAGGTTTTATTTTTCTTAATCTCTTTACTTTTTCACCCAGCCCCACAACCCCCTCCCCTCTGACAGCTGTCAACCTGCTCTCTATGGATTAATCTATTTTGTTTGCTAGTTTATTTTGTTCATTAGATTCCACATATGAGTTAAGTCATATGGTGTTTGTCTTGCTCTGACTGGCTTATTTCACTTCGCATAATGCTCTTGAGGTCTATGCATGCTATCACAAAGGGTAAAATTTCCTTCTTTTTTATGGCTGAGTAGTATTCCATTGTGTAGCTGTACCACAGCTTTTTATCCACTCATCTGCTGATGGGCACTTAGGCTGCTTCCAAATCTTGGCTATTGTAAATAACACTGCAATGAACAAAGGGGTGCATATATTCGTTTGCATTAGTTGGAACCAGACTATTTCTTAGCATTTCTTCTCTTTGTCCAAGCCACCTGATTATTGTAATAAACTCCTAGCAGATTTCCTGCTTTTGCATGTGTTTTTTTCTTATCTTTGCACCTAGCTAGAGTAATTCTTTTAAAAGTCAAGTCATTATATCAAGTGTCTGTTTTTTGCCAAGAGTGAATACAATCACCTATAAGACTCTGACATAATTTACATCTTTTAACTAATCCCATCTACTTACTCTATTCTAGCCATTCTAGCCTCTGCTCTTCCATAAACTCTCAACTCAAGGCCTTTGTACTTACTGTTTCCATTGCCTGGAATTTCCTTGCTCCTCATCTATTTCAAATCTTTGCTCAAATAAGGCTTTTCCTGATCATTGTATTAAAATGAACCCCAACCCCCCATAGTAATACCCACCCTGCTTTATTTTTTCCCCACAGCATTTGTCACCATCTGACACATATATAATTTATTTGTTAGTTTTACCAATTTCTCTGTGTTAGAATAAATTCACTAAAGAAGGGTTTTTTTATTTACTGCTCATATCTTGGTATCTAGAATGGTATCTGGCACATAACATACTCTGTAAATACTTATTAAATGAACAAATTAATTCTTACAACAATGTCAGGAGATGATTACTAGACCTCACAGATGAGAAGGAAACACCACCAAACTACCACCACAAATAGCAACAACAACAAAAAAATCCCCAAAACTAACCCAAGGAGGTTAAATTAAACATTAAACCTTAAAAAATGCCAATTAATAAGAGACTGTTTAAATAATTTATGGTGTGCCCTGGCCAGTGTTGCTAAGTGGCTAGAGTGTCAGCCCATGCACCGAAGTGTCTCTGGATTGATTCCTGGTCCAGGGCATGTACCTGGGTTGCAGGTTCATCCCCAGCTCCCGTAAAGGGTGAGTACAGGAGGCAACCAAATTGATGTGTCTCTCTCACATCAATGTTACTCTCTCTCCCCCTCCATCCCTTCCTTCCACTGTCTCTAAAAAAATCAATGGAAAAAATATCCTCGGGTGAGGATTAACAATAAATACATAAACAAACAGATAGATAAATAATTTATGATATAACAAAATAATGGAATAATATGTACCTCTAAAAAGTGATGAAGACAATCTTTATATTCTGATATAGGATGATATCCAAGATATGTTGTTAAGTAAGGTATGGAAGTATCATATATTATCATTTGCTTAAACATCAGGAAAAATAGGCACATTTGCCGATATATGTATAGCCTAAATCAGGAAGAATATACAAGAAACACTGATTACCACTGGAGATAGAGACTAGTAATTATGGATAATTTTAGGTCAATCTTGTCTTTCTATGAGTGTTCGCACCATTTAAATTTTGAGCCACCTAGGTGTGCTATATATTAAAAAATAAAATTAAACGATAATTTGCCTAAAGTCAGACACCTAGTTAGTGACAGAGAATGACATTTAAATTTGAGATTGCCTGACTCAAAAGCCCATTTTCTGTCTATTAGCCTATACTGTCTCATAGAGGAATATGCAGAGCCAATGCATTTCATTTTTTTATTATGTTGAATTCTTGAAAGTCATCTCAAATATATAGGATGCAAAGGGATATTCTCTTTCAGCCGATTGAACATCAGTAATGATAACAGCATGGAGAGTTAGTATGTATAGCTTTCTTAGTCTTCTGAAAGCATTTATTTTCTCTCCACAGCTGCTGGTTGGCAGGTCCAAAAAAGGATGATGATAAAACAAGCCCATTATATTTGTCATTTATTCTACCTATGACCATTATCCTCACTAGCAATGTTGCTCTATTTATTGTCATTATAGTGAAAGTGGTATGGAAGGATAACCAGAATCTGACAAGGTAAGATTCCCAGCAAATGGGAAGCTGCCAGGCATGACTCGGTGAGCACACAATAGAGCACCCTCATATATCTGCACCTCCTAGAAGAGTTTTCAGACTCTGGGACAATGGCCTAATTGCAAATTCAGTTATATTTTCTTTATACAAAACATATCATTTTGGCCTCAGACAACCAAATTTATACTTCTAAATTTTGGCTGACAGCACTTGTTCTTAAATTGGCTTAGTTACAATGAAAAGCAGGTTACAATTTAATTGTTTAACAAGTTATCTTTCATGTATCAGTTAGCTTTTGCTGCATAACAAACACCCCAAAACTTTATGGCTTAGAATGACAAATGTTTATTATTTGTCATAAATTTGAGCATTGGTTGGGCAGTTGTCCTGGTTCTGGCTTGAATGTAGGTGAATTATCTAGGGCAGTGGTTCTCAACCTGTGGGTTGTGACCCCTTTGGGGGTTGAACAACCGTTTCACAGGGGTCGCCTAAATACATCCTGCATATCAGATATTTACATTACGATTCATAACAGTAGCAAAATTACCGTTATGAATTAGCAACGAAAATAATTTTATGGTTGGGGTCACCACAACATGAAAAACTGTATTAAAGGGTCGTGGCATTAGGAAAGTTGAGAACCACCGGTCTAGGGTGACTCACTTTCATGCCTCGTAGGTAGTAGTGGTCTGGTCTTTAATGGTAGCTATTCAGTGGGGAAAAATCATCTCTCCTCCATGTGGTTTCTCATCTTGTGTCAAACCAGTCCAGGCTTCTTAACATAGTGGGCTCAGGATCCCAAAGAGCAATAAAGAGAAGGAAAATTCTAATTTAAAAAAATGCTTTTCAGCCTCTACTTGTGGAACAATTGCTGATGTCTCACCAGTCAAAGTGAAATATTAGCAATTATCTCACCATCAAGGGAAGAAGATCACTCTGCATTTTAACAACCTTTCATTCTGTATCAACCTACAACAGTGGTCGGCAAACTGCGGCTCTCGAGCCACATGCGGCTCTTTGGCCCCTTGAATGTGGTTTTTCCACAAAATACCGACTTCTGCGCATGGGCCACGAAGTTTCAATTGCACTGTACGTGCACACCTGCATGTGGTATTTTGTGGAAGAGCCACAGTTTGCCGACCACTGACCTACACCATGGGAAGGTTCCAGATGCCTCCATAACAATTAATCACTAGCTGATCCAATAGTAATAATAGCTAAAATAAAATTCTCTTCCAAAGAAAGAATTGATTCTTTGTGAAATTTGCCTGTAAGGAATTGTTTATGCCAGATACAGTTATCATTGTATTTCTTTTTTAAAAAAAGTATATTTTATTGATTTTCTACAGAGAAGAAGGGAGAGGGACAGAGAGTTAGAAACATTGATGAGAGAGAAACATCGATCAGCTGCCTCCTGCACACCCCCCACTGGGGATGTGCCTGCAACCAAGGTACATGCCCTTGACCGGAATCGAACCCGGGACCCTTGAGTTCGCAGGCCAACGCTCCATCCACTGAGCCAAACCGGTTTGGCTTTATTGATTTTTTTGGCTGGAATCGAACCTGCGACCCTTGAGTCCGCAGACCGATGCTCTATCCACTGAGCCAAACCGGTTAGGGCTATCACTGTATTTCTTAATAAAGCTTGCTAAATCAGATTCTATCCAGCATGGCATAGGTCTAGCATAATTTTTCCACTGGAGGCATAATATTGTTAAATGAACAGTATATATGGGCAGCTGAATATATATTCTTAACAGTAGGGTAACAATGATATTAATTTTAAAAAAAGAACCGAATGAACCATATTTTCTTTCTTGCTTTCATTTACCTAGCACAAAAAAGGTTTCATCGCTAAAGAAGGTTTTTAGCACGTTATCTATTGCAGTCATATTTGGAATTACCTGGATCCTGGGATACTTTATGCTAATAAGTGATGAAAATACCAGCAAAATCTCCGGCTACCTTTTCTGCATTTTCAACACTACTCAGGTATGGCGTGGATTAGTCTGAAAGTAGCAGACCGTGCAGTGGTGGAGGTGATATCTCCGTGGAGCAAAGTTTTCTCCTTTTAAAACTCCCTGAAGGTCATTGTTTAGTACCTTTAGGAGATTCTATTTTAATATCCTTTGAGGGAAGACAAAGGAAAGCTCTTTATGACTTTATGTTCTTTCCTGCGCTGAATACAAATTTTCGGATAGTTTTTTCTATATCTGTGAAAAATGCCAATGGAATTTTGGTAGGGATTACATTTAATCTATATTGTTTTGAGTTGTATGAACATTTTCACAGTATTTATTTTCTTAATCTAAGAACTCGGGCTATCTTTCCATTTATTTGTGTCTTCTTCAATGTGAGGAAGGGAGAGGGATAGAGTTAGAAACATCGATGAGAGAGAAACATTGATCAGCTGCCTCCTGCACACTCCCTACTGGGTATGTGCCTGCGACCAAGGTACATGCCCTTGACTGGAATCGAACCCGGGACCCTTCAGTCCGCAAGCCGACGTTCTGTCCACTGAGCCAAACCAGTCAGGCAATAAAATTTGAGTTGTATGAACATTTTCACAGTATTTATTTTCTTAATCTAAGAACTCGGGCTATCTTTCCATTTATTTGTGTCTTCTTCAATGTCTTTCATCAATGTCTTATTTTTTCCCCCATCAATAACATATTGTTTTAGGTCTTTTACTTTCTTGGGTTAAATTTATTACAAATTATGTCATTGTTTTTTTATGCTATTATAAATAGGATTCTTTTATTAGTTTTATTCCAGCTAGTTTGTTTTTAGTGTATAAAAATGCAACTAGTTTCCATGTGTTGATTTTGTATCCTGCAACTTTATGGGATTCATTTTTTTAGTTCTAACTGGTTTTTGGTGGAATCTTTTGGCTTTTCTATATATAAAATCCTGGAAGAGAGTTGATTTGTTAGAATCAGAACCTTATGAAGTTTTTGTGTGTGACATAATTATACATAGGACTGAAGATGCTTTTATTCCTGAGTCTTGTCTCAATGATACATTTAATCATAATTTTAAAGAACATTCTATTCATACCTTATCTTAAAATTTGACTGAAGATTTATATGTGTTTTTATTTGGAATCCATTCTATTAACATATTGGAAGCATCTCCTATAAGAAACTAAACATATAGAGGAAATATAATGGTCATCTAATTTTCATTATGGCAAAAATACTGGTATAGATAAACCAAAATGGTAGATTAAAAATAAAAATAACTTTGTTTGATCTCAGATGATTTTTGTTTTCATATGTTTGTATTTGTGTATATGCATAGGGAATGTAAAGACTTTAAGATAACACAAGGATTCATTATTGAAAGACTTATCTTGAAATCAGAATTTTTTTCCATGGTTTTTATTCTATACCTCCTCCTGTGGCAAACATTGTCTTTTGCTCTGATGAAAAATATTACAAGGACTTTTCTGTCTCTATAATTAATCTTATGTTTCCTGAGCTGGCAGAGTGAATTATACTTCAATATAATAAAAGTACCTTTTTAAAAAAATATATTTTTTATTGATTTTTTACAGAGAGGAAGGGAGAGGGATAGAGTTAGAAACATCGATGAGAGAGAAACATTGATCAGCTGCCTCCTGCACACTCCCTACTGGGTATGTGCCTGCGACCAAGGTACATGCCCTTGACCGGAATCGAACCTGGGACCCTTCAGTCCGCAAGCCGACGCTCTGTCCACTGAGCCAAACCAGTCAGGCAATAAAAATACCTTTCTTTTATTTTTATTTAAAAATATTTTTATTGATTTCAGAGAGGAAGGGAGAAGGAGAGAGAGATAGAAACATCAGTGATGAGAGAGAATCATAGGTTGACTTTCAACCAGTGAGCCATGCTGACTGGGCTGAGGTGATGATTTTAATTCTAGTTATATTAATACTAGAGGCCCGGTGCACAAAAATTTGTGCACTCAGGGGTAGGGGGTCCCTCAGCCCGGCCTGTGCCCTCTCGAAATCTAGGACCCCTCGGGGGTGACCACTTGCTGGCTTAGGCCTGCTCCC